GGCAGCAGCTTGGCATGGCATTCCAGTCTACATGCTCTGCCAGATCGAGTCTATTGACGGTTAGGGTTTAGGATTTAGGGTTTAGGGTTTAGGGTTTAGGGTTTAGGGTTTAGGGTTTAGGGTCCTCCTTCAGTACAGCCACTTCTTGTGATGCTCGGCTCAATGCCTACCGGGGGCTCTCGCAGATCCCCAGCCCTGGGCCTTCTACGATTGACCCAACCCAAGCCCCGAAGTCCCGAAGCCAAGGTTCCTAAACCCTATAAACCCCTAAACNNNCTAAACCCTAAACCCTACACTTACGATGCCCTGAACCCTAAAGGCCTGAACCCCCAAGCCCACAGCGCCGAACCGGAGCTTCTAAGGAAAGGGCAACAAGGCCCGTGTCGGGAATGCGGCGGCGGAGGAGCAGGGGGAAATCCATCTAGCCTCGCACAAGGCAGGAGTCTCGGATATGTCAGGTTGGGGTTTAGGGTTTCGGGTTTNNGGGTTTAGGGTGTAGGGCGGAGGGTTTAATAAGGTCCAGCCAAACCATGACGAATCCTGCCGTACCGCAGAATCCTCCCCAGCCCAGCAAGACTCGTGCAGGCCCAGCGGACGCTGACCGCAAATGTTCGGAGCGTCCTGAGGGAAGCCATGTCTCTCGGCACAGCTACTAGGGTTTAGGGTTGATGGATAACACATAACAGGAGTCTCACAACTCTCAGAATCCTAAGCAGAGCAGCGGTGTGTTCTGGGCAGTGAAGCAGCTGAAAAGCCGTGAAGCCCTGCACCGGCCAGCACCCCCCAAGAAACCCCAAATTTCAAATTACCAAACAAAACACTCCGCCGGCCTACTCCCCATCCAACAAAATTCAACAAACAACAACGACTAGATTTGGGGAATTTGTAGCAGCGGAGGAGGCGTTGCCACAAGACCTGCACCCGAAATCTTTTTTTCTTCGCGATTTAGGGGATTTTCGTTAACTAAGGGGTAGAAGTCGCTCGTGCAACTCAATCTAGCGGAGTTTCCCAGTTTCGAGATAAACGCAAAGCCCGAAACTTAAGTGAAGACGATGTAAGACAAGTCGCAAGATAAACGTTGGTGACCACACTCGAAACTAATCACCGCCTCTACAAGCTCAACCCCTAATCCTCGCAGTCCTTCAAACCCAAAGCCCTGAAAGCAAGGAAGTTGGATCGGGTTTGCGCCGTCCTTGGCGACAAGGAGGCTGAGGCGGCGGTGTGCAGATTTATTTGGGACCTTGCTGTACATCATGCCTTGTAGTTACACAAGATGTAGGCTTTAGGCAGTTGCAAGCGCAGAACTTATCCCAGGTCTCCATACCATTTTCTCTGAACCCTTTACCTTCTTTGGCAGGGCGTTTTGCACAAGAGTTAGGTGGGTTTAGTTGGGTTGTTTGGGGTGTTGTGCAGGGCTGTACCGAGTCCAAGGTCTTTAGGGGTGCTGCTTCGGACTTGGCCGCTGTGGGGTTTCGTTTGATGCGGTTTTAGAGGGCAGCCCTAAACCCGAGTTTCGTTATTTGGGGCAGGAACCCTAAACCGTAAACCCTAAACTCTAACCGGTCCGGGTACTGAGTTCTTGTGCCTGCGGATGTCTGGCTTCTGAAACGGCCAAGGCGATCCTCTCAGCTATGGAGTTCTTCGAGTTCCTGCCTGGCGAGGCACGCAGATTCACAGGGTTTGCTAGGTTAATATAGGGGTCTTCAGAATTAGAATACGGTTTTGGGGGATACTTTACTTACTTACTAGTGTCGGGACTATAACGGTGTTTGATTTCTAAACAAGTATTCCTTCAGCAAATCAGCACCGTAAACATCGCCACCATCCTGTCATCACAGCCATCACTCTCGCCATCATCAGCGTCGCCACCCGCATCACGCAGCCAGTTGGATGCAATGTAGCTGCTGTCCAGGCAGTGGTGGAGCAGGGAACTACAGGGAACACCTTCTTCATCGCTCAGACTGGCTCGCTGCAGGCAGGTTCGTAGCTGAAGGTCGTCCTGCTCGTGAAGTTGACTCTTGCAGGGAGGGATGGAGAGGTCCTCGCAGTGCCAGATGCTCCTTTCCGTCCCTTTTGACTAGGAATGCAGCGCGCTGCATGCTATGTCAGTGTTTCAAGGTGCACAGCACCCTCCGAAACAGGTGAGCGTCAATGGCAACGTTTGCAACACCGTCTCCGAAGGCGATTGCAGTCTGGTGTGCGGTCAGCCGGAACCCTTGTGCCGTCGCAACCCGAAAAGTGTCCATTGATCGAGTACTCGTCGGGTTTGTTCACAGTGCAACACCCCTTCAGTTCCTTCAGCCTTGCAAGGTTGTGTTTGCGTGTCTTGCCTCGCTTCACAGGCCAAGCCTTCGGGAGTCTGGCACTGTTGTACAACTGCCCGCGGACGGCCACTGTCAAGGTGCCACAGGGACGCAAGTCTATGTCAGTTAGATCCCCAGGTTCAGGCATCGGGATAGGCGCTGGTTCAAGCCGTTGCTGGCCGGTGTGGGGTTCAAGGGCCTCAGCTTGCAAGCTACACAGTCAGGCCCTGACGAGATGCGGTGTGTGGGGCGCAAACGGTGCCGCTGTCCACGCCGCCCTGAGGGAGAATGCCCACACGCAGCTGGGACCAGGAGATGGAGGATAGCAAAAGAAGTGCAGGAGCTTTTGAGTCCTTCACCTCATTTCAGAAACGATGCTCAACCATAGAATGCAAAAGCTTGTGCTGCGGGATTTTGCACCGGCTTTGCCGTCCATAGCCCGCGCACATGGGAAGATAACTGCCATGAACCCTTCCTGAGATTGCAAGCTGCACCTGTCTTGGCCTCAACTTGATCTCACGAATGCTTTCAAAGGCGCATGCTCACGCTTTCCGCATGCAGCCCAGGCACCAGCAAGACTACCGGCAGTTTCTGGCCCCCTGGCTTATGAAAGATGGGGGCTAGACGTTGCGACGATCATTCTACTGCTATCACTCTTGCTGCTGCTACGAGTGCCAGTCTCTCTGACTGCTACCACGTTCGTGCTCACGTTCTGTGCAACACCTTGCGATTCTGGCCATGTGGGTAGTTGTCAAAATGTTGGTCCCTTTTGGGGTACCCTGCATAATAGGTGCCGTATTATAATAAGGACCCAAAAAGGGACCATAATTTTGACAACCACCCATGTTGCTCAGTTCGATGCGAACCCCAAACCCCCCTCAGAACCCCTCGAGTCCGAACGCGGCCCCCGAAATTCCAACTCCCAGAAGCAAAAACCTCTCCGCTGACCCTACAAACCCTAAACAAGGATTCCGCTAGCGCTCTTTTTTCTAAACCCTAAACCCTAAGCTTTGAACCCTGAACCCTAAACCCTTAAAAAAATACCAGGATTCCATCCGGCTCTTCGACGGGCTGACTGACAGCCAGAAGGAGACGCGAGGGCCGGGGGCTAGGTAGGGTGTAGGGTTTAGGGTTCAGGCTTCAGGGCTTTAGGCAGGGTTTAGGGTTTAGGGTTTAGGCTTCAGGGTTTCAGGCGGATTTGGGGTTTAGGGTTTAGGCTTCAGGGTTTTAGGCAGGGTTTAGGGTTTAGGGTTTAGGCTTCAGGGTTTCAGGCGGGTTTGGGGTTTAGGGTTTAGGCTTCAGCGTTTTAGGCAGGGTTTGGGGTTTAGGGCTAGGGTTCATGTTCAGGGTTTAGGTACGGCTCAGGGTGTCTCGGGCTGCAGGAATACAGGGTGAGGAGCTAGGGTTGGGGAAAAAAGCTTAAGTCCTAAGAGGAAGGTACAGTAAGTAGGGATGGGTCCAGGACCGAAAGGACTTAAATTTATGGGGCTATAGGGCCTTAGGCTACAGGGAATCTTGGGAACCTCGAGTCCGATTCCAAACCCCACAACTCCCAATGCAAAACCCCCAAAACCCCAAAGCCCAAAAGCTCCTCTCAAGTAGAAAAAGAGCGCAGAAAAATAAACCTGAAAGGACAACCCTGGCCCTAAACCCTAAACCCTAAACCCTAAACCCCAAGCCCTACTTCCGTCTCAGCAAGGAGAAAGCTGCCGAGTCGGCCTTCAAAGAAGTCTTCGAGACGGGCGCAAGACTGGTGCCTCGATATGGTCGGGTGGGGGATTTTGGTGAAGGGTTTAGGGTTTAGGGTTTAGGGCTTAGGGTTTAGGGTTTAGGGTTTAGGGTTTTAGGGGCACAGGGCCTGGTGGCTTGGGATTTCAGGTTCAGGGGCCCGGGGCCGGGGGGTTTTGAGGTGTGAGGTTCAGGGTTTAGGGTTTAGGGTTTAGGGTTTAGGGTTTTAGGGTTTAGGGTTTAGGGTTCAGGGGGTTTGGGGGTTGCAGGGATGAGGTTTCGGGGTTCAGCGTGTCGGTTTTTGGACGGGGTCCCAAAACAAAACGAATCAGACGGATCAGCAAGGAGGCGCGTGTTGCGACTTTTTGGGTAGGTGTGCCTGGAAGTCTGATCATGCCTACGGGTACGTTCTCATGATCGTGGTCTTTGGTTGCCGCAAGGGTCGCGACGGCAGCACAGGGCAGCAGCAGCGGTCGCACCCGCAGCGTAGCAGTAGGAGCAGCGACAGATGTTCGTGCTCAAGGCTGCAGAGCTATTGAACTTCAGGGTGTTAGGTTTTAGGGTTTAGGGTTTAGTTCATAGTAGGTTTAGGGTTAGTTAGGGTCTAGGGCACAATACTTACCCCGAGAGGCTATGGAATGGCCATTGCAAAGGCCAGCCGTTGTAACGCACAAGCTGCATAGGGTCCTGACAAATGCCGAAAACATGAAAGGAACAGTTTCCAGCTACAGTGGGCCGGTGCGGCAAGAGCAGTCATTTGCACCTGGGGACTCTTCAACTATCTATGACCCCTGGCAGGGTTCTCATCGTGTTCGGCTATTGCACGAGGTCCCCTGAAAAGAGACCTTGCTTCAAACCAGACCTCATGAGCGACAACGTCCTCAGTTTGGGGGGCTCAACCCTAAACCCTAAACCAAAACCCTAAACCCTAAACCCCTAAACCCCTAAACCCTAAACCCTAAACCCCACTGCAAGGTCACCGCCGGTGAAGACTTTGCTGCAATCTACTTCGTCAAGAAGGGTCAACTTCGCGTGATGCGAGGCCACTCCTGGTAAGTGCCATGAAAGGTTTGGGCCCAAAATAATTACCACTACCATGTTGGGCTTCCTTGTTATAGTTATGGTAGAATATGCCCCAAAATCCTGTTATGATTATCAAGGCCCCTACAATAGTGTTAAGGCTAAGGCTCATAGAGAGTTTCAGGTGCTCTGATGAAGGCACGCACGGGTTGTGAGCCGGGGCGGAAGCACTGGAAAGAGAAACATGACACGACGATCTCTGGTAGTGGTAAGAGCTGTAGGAACAGTCATACGAAACCGAGTGGGAATGCTACTGTCATTTTTCAACCAATGGGAGGCGGCAAAGTCATGGCCGACGGCACTTTCGTGGATGGCCAGGCGGGCAAGATGTTTGGCTTGGTTCTCTCTGCTGTGAACAGAAGTGGCCTCGGTGACTTTATGATCCTGGCCCCTGCTGATGTTCTGTTTCTGAAGGCGCCGTAAACGGAGGTGCACCTATGCCGGCTTCCAGCGTTGGATGCTCCAGCTTGGTAAGTGTATAGTTGAGAGTCAGCTCTGTGAGCGGGGCACGTCCTGCAAGATGCCTTAAGGCCTTACTACGACATAATGTAATGTCGCTGTCGCGCCCAACGCCCCTCTTCCCCCGGCTGGCCGACAGGTTCTTGCAACGCTGGGGCCTGGTACCTCCCTGGGGGAAGCACTGCTCTCTGGTGCCCTGTACGCAAAGCCTTTTTTGGTCCTTCGACTTCTGCGACAGTGGCAGGGCTTCGGTGGCGAGCAGTCGGGTGAGTTGTCAGATGTTCTGAGGGCACAGTTGCTGCGGCAAGTAATGTCAGGCACTGGGAATATAGTATCTACCAGCGTTTTCCTTGGGCTGCTTCCCACGATTTGTCTATAACTACTTGAAGTTCTAGTGCAAAAGGCCCCATTTTATGACTCATCTGTCCTTTCACTTGAAGGGCCTGCCATTCAGAGTTAAGCCCCCATGCCCCCATGGAAGCTCTGAAGGGAATCTCTCTTTCGAAAGCCGTCTTTCAACTCAACAGTTGTGGGCAGCTCATGTCCCTGGCAAGCTAGTTCACCGGTCGAATCGCTTCTGACATGCACAGGGCATCGGCAGTCGGGTTGGCCCTAGTGGACAGCAGGCTACTTGTATGGCAAAGGCTTAGAGCCCAAGACCTCAAACCATGTTGTTGTGGCCCTTGTGAGCATCTGCCGTCACTATCTATATCCATATCTATATCTACATTGACATCTACATCTGCACATCTACATCTACATCTAGATCTACACATCTAGATATCTAGATCCAGATTCAGATCTATATCTTGATATATGGATGTATGCATGCATGCATGCATGCATGCATGCATGTATGCATGTATGTATGTATGTATGCATGCATGTATGCATGTATGTATGTATGCATGTATGTATGTGTGTATGTGTGTGTATGTGTATGTGCATGTGTAT